GAACTTATCATATGAAGTAGGGGCAAATAAAATGTCAAGTTTACTTACTTTTGCCCTTCAGGGCAAATCACTGGGCGGCGGTGAGGAAGCGGAAAAGTAGGGAGGCTCATGGGACCTCGCAGGTACACCCTCGAAGCAGAGGAAGAGGAACCCGTGCCTCCCGCCAACGCCTCCTGCTCGTCGAAGGGACCCTCCTCCTCGTCGCCCTCGGGGGGCGTCTGCGAAACCTCCTCCTCCTCCTCCTGCTCCTCCTCCTCGTGCGCCCTCTCCACGGGCGTCATCGGCTCCGCCTCCTCCGACACCTAGAGATGTGCCGGGGGCCTCCTGCTCCTCGGGTTCCTCCTCCTCCTCGCGTTCGACCCCTCGGCCTCCTCCCCTGCTTGGTAAAGCGACCTGACGGGCCTGTGACGCCCACCCGCCATTTTTGTTGAATCACCTGAAAAAAAAGAAAAGTATTACATGTATTAGAAATAATATTCATGCTTAAAAACACTTAATTAGAAATAGATGGAAAATGATAATCAACTTTAGTATTACATTTATTAGAAATAATCGTCATATTTGGACCTTAGGCTGCCTCCATGTCTTGTTGCCTCTAGGAGGCTGCATCTCTTGCTTTGGTCTATCACATAACGTTGCTAGGTCCACTCTAGCCTTAGTGTTGTCCTTAGACTTTTCAGTGTCCATGAGTGTTCCCCAAAGTGCCTCGGCGACATTCTTCTCGGTGTGCATTACATCGATGTTATGTGGCAGAAGAAGGTCATCGAAATAGGGGAGCCTCGTCAAGCCTGACTTATGTGTCCACATATGTTGCTCACCATATCCCACAAACCCACCATCTAGAGCGGACACGAGAGCATCTATCTGCGAATGAACCTCGGCACCAGTCATCATCCGCGGTGGAGGGTCTGTCACTATGACACCTTTCGTAAAGTTCTTGATGTCTTGTCTGAATGGATGCTCAGAAGGGAGGAATTGCCGATGTGTGTCGAACGACGAATACTTCCACCCTTCCGTAACCAGATGAACCTCAAAGCTTCCTTGAATACTGGGCATGGGAACTTCCCGTGAACACACGAACCACTGAATAACACATACGCTAGGAAGTCATGCATGGAGTACTGGTACCAAACATGCATTTTGAAGCTTGTCTTTGTAGCTCTATTGTATGTCCATACCCCTACCTCCCAAGCATGGATCAATTCATCAATCACCGGCTCCATGAACACACCCATATTACTCCCCGGGTGTCCAAGAATTATCAACGACAAGAATATGTTATGTCGTTCAAAGGAGACATCGGGAGGAGATTGAGGGGGATAACGAACACGGGCCAACATGTGTATGGGGCAGCCATCATTCCATAAGGATTGAACCCGTCTGTTGCCAACGCAACACGTACATTACGAGCCTCTCCAGCTTTTTCACGATATATGTCATCGAAGTGTTTCCATGCTTCACCATCGGCTGGATGCACCATCTTCTCCGGACTGTACCGTTTTCCATTTTTGTGCCATGTCATCTGTTTCACGGATTCCTCGTTCATGAATAGCCGTTGGATCCTCGATAGGAACGGAAGACGCCGTACAATCTTCACTAGGACTATCGTCTGACTCTTCTGACCATCACCAGAGTCTGTCTCTAGGTACCTAGACGATTCACACTTTGGACAGTACTTTGCGTCCACATGTTCTTTCTAGAATAGGACGCACCCCTTCGGACAAGCATGTATCTGCTCATACGGCATCTTAAGTGCCCGAAGGAGCTTCTGTGAATCGTACATGCTCTTTGGCAGAATGTGGCCCTCCGGAAGCAGGGTGCCAATCACGATCAACATCTTATCGAAGCCGTCTCGACTGATGTTTAACTCAGACTTCAATGCCATCAAGCATCCAATGGCATCAAGTTTAGACACCGAGGACCGATCGTTAAGGGGCTTCTAAGCAGAGTTCATCATCTCGTAGAAAGCCTTTGTGGCTGCCTCCATCTCCTCCTTCTCGCGTTCGTCAACGCCAAGTGCTTGGTGAACATCATCTAACAAGTCTGGTACACCGACATCATCATCAAAAGCTTCGACGCGTGGTCTCACCACCTCCTCTCTCGTACGATGGGCTTCACCATGGTAGATCCACCGGGTGTAGCCCGGCATATATCCATTCTTCACAAGATGTTTACCCATGTCGACCATGTTTATCCTTCTCCTGTTTGCACGTTTGGAGCAGGGACACGGCTCTAGCAGATGTGATGACGAAGCCTTGCCAAATGCCTTGTTCAAAAAAGCCTCGATCTTGCGAAACCATTCATCTGTGTATGCCATGTGACTTTTCCAACCCGTGTACATCCACTGATGGTCATCCATCCTCTAAAATGCCAGCGAGTAATGCAACCATCAACTACATCTACACGACTTTCATACTGTCTAATAGGTGAGGATAGGTCCTAATCCTACCCACGGATGCGTAGATGAGGTTAGTTACCATGGTCTGCTCCTATCCCAGACATAATTTCGGTAGCACCTCCCCGTTGTTCTCCCGATACACATCCTGGCAGGGAGAGTGTGTATCCGGAGAACAACGGGGAGGTAATGCCGAAACCCTGTGTCGGATCATTGCGGACCATGGAAACTAAACTCATCTACGCATCCGCGGACTGTCCAAATAACGTGGACAATCTGAAAAAGATTCGGCCGTAGATATGCAAAGATATGCATACCACCAACCGTATCTCTTTCGGACGGGAGACGCCTAACTTGGTTACGCGATCTACGACCAAGGTACGCAAAAGACGGGTTATACCTAGGGTGTCGGTGGAGTCAGGCTAGCGGGGCGGTGGCGAGTCGGTGCAGTGGCGAGGCGACGCGGTGCAGGCAGACCCGCAACGCCGAGGAAGACGATCGGTGTAGCCAAGGCGCTCTGGCTCCGCTCAGACAGTTCCTTCACCTGCATGAAAAACAAATAGTTTTTGGTCAATGATAAATTTTGGCAGCACCTCCCCTACACGGGGAGGTTTCCAAAACCTGCAAAAAACAACGGCACGAAGGCCGACAATCACAACGGCTCGAAGGCTGACAATCACAATGGCTCGAAGGCCGACAATCACAATGGCTCAAAGGCCGACAATCACAATGGCACATCATTATACCTTGGCGGCAGAGGCGTCGACGAGACGGGAACACGGGGAAGATGGCGCCGGGAACGGAACGGGAAGGCAACCTCCTTCCTCCTTCCTCCTTCCTCCTTCCTCTCCTTTCTCCTTCCTCTCCCCCTTCTTCCTCCTTCTGCGCCGGTCGTTCGGTGGGGCGTGGCGGGGCGGGGAGCGGCGGGGCAGCGGCCGGCAGGGCCGGGTGCGGCGCTCTTCGCCGATCGAGGCTGTGGGAAGTGGGGCCGGACGCGGCGCGACGCAAATCGGCGGTGGGGAGGGTCGGGGCGGGGCATGATGCCGGCGTCGGGGCAGCGCGCGCGTGCAGCGGTGGCGTAGGGCGGGGCGTCGGGGCAGCGCGCGTGGGCGCGGCTGTCGGCGCAGGCAGCGCGCGGGCGGCGCGGGCGCGTGCGGGCTTTGGGGCAGCGCGCGCGGCCACGGCGGCGTCGCAGGCGGGGCGGCGGCGCGCGGGCAGCGCGCGGGCGGCGGCGGTGGCGCGGGAGCGGGTGCGGCGACGCGTAGGCGATTGCGTAGGGTTTGGCCGGCGTGGGCCGGCTGGGGCACATTTTGATGTTAGGTCCTTTGCCGAGTGCCGCGGGCCGGCACTCGACAAAGGTTTTTTAATTTTTTTTTTGTTTATTTTCTTTGCTGAGTGCCCTGTCTCTGGGACTCGGCAAAGATTTTTTATTTATTTTGTTTATTTTCTTTGCCGAGTGCCCTGTCTATAGCACTCGGCAAAGGTTTTTTTTAATTTTTTTGTTTATTTTCTTTGCCAAGTGCCCTGTCTCTGACACTCGGCAAAGACCCCCTGTGCCGAGTGCCAGGTCTGGCACCCGGCAAAGATTTTTATTTTTTGCTCCCAGATTTTTTCTTTAGGGTTTATACAGTGCTTTAAAGTACATGTTAAAATTTGGTTGAATTTTGTGACTTTTTACTATATTTTTAGAATTATTTTTTGTTTTGTTGATTTATTTCGCAAAAAGCAAGTTTGAACTGCAAGTGCATCGAATAATGAAATCTAATCATTCAAAAAATGATTGTCATCGCAAAAAGCAATCATTTTTCGAATAATTAGATTTCATTATTCGATGCACTTGCAGTTCAAATTTGTTTTTTACAAAATAAATCAACAAAACAAAAATAATTCTAAAAATATAGTAAAAAGTCACAAAATTCAACCAAATTTTAACATGTACTTTAAAGCACAGTATAAACCCTAAAGAAAAAATCTGGGAGCAAAAATAAAAAAAAATTCTTTGCCGAGTGCCAGACCTAGCACTCGGCAAAGGGGGTCTTTGCCGAGTGCCAGAGACAGGGCACTCGGCAAAGAAAATAAACAAAAAATTAAAAAAACCTTTGCCGAGTGCTAGAGACAGGGCACTCGGCAAAGAAAATAAACAAAAAAAAATAAAAACCTTTGCCGAGTGCCAGAGCTCGGGCACTCGGCAAAGAAAATAAACAAAAAAAATAAAAAATCTTTGCCGAGTGCCAAAGACAGGGCACTCGGCAAAGAAAATAAACAAAAAATTAAAAAATTCGTTGCCGAGTGTATGACGACGACCACTCGGCAAAGCCTAACGGTGGGTGGCCGCTGTCACCTCGGTTAGCCTTTGCCGAGTGTTTAGCTTTGCCGAGAGCCCGACACTCGGCAAAGGGAGGCTTTGCCGAGTGTTATACTTTGCCGAGTGCCTGGCACTCGGCAAAGATGGATATGCGAGTGTTGGTCTTTGCCGAGTGCGGCACTCGGCAAAGTCTACCTTTGCTGAGTGTCCGATATTTGGCACTCGGCAAAGTAGGAAACACTCGGCAAAGCCCCTGTTTCCCGTAGTGAGAGAAGGGTTATAGTCTGTTGGCCTTCTAACCTTCACTGGCGCCCCTTCAAACAAAATGCCATACAGGGCTATTGCATTGCTTGCTTCCTCGACAGATCTCATTTCCACAATAGCAAATATCTTATCATGGTTTATGTAGACATTATGAACATCATCGCCTGGACCAGCAGTGTTTCCTCCAATAGCAGCCATGACTTGATTAAAGTAAACTGCCACTGTCTGCAGAAAAGAAAAACCAACTGAACCAAGAGTTGCAAATTATATGCACAAGTGATGTAAATTAACCCAACTTCTAGTATATGGACCTGTTCATTAGCAGATGGAGGAAGGCCACGAACATAAACACGCCCAGCATGACGAGTAGCCTGATAGACAAGGCTGTTGGCACATTGTTTATTGAAATCTGCAGCAAATTATCACCAAAAGAACCCCATACCTGTTGAGTCATTGCTTGTGGCTGGATGACAAGGGGATTGAACTGATTCAAGAAAACGAATATGGTTACAAAGCAACAAAAGTCCAGTTCAGAGGTTAAAAAGGACTTCTAAATTCCTTCAAAGTTAAAGATACAAAGATACTAAATGAAGGAACAATCACCTGTCACCAACACCAACACCAAAAGGAGGGAGCATGTTTGGAAACATGCCAGTAAAAGAAGAGCCTGTTATACCTACAATGTAGCAATAAATTTCAAGTAGGAGGTGTAATTAATTAGCAACTAAGGTATTGCTCCTGAAAAAACTGTATAGACCTAGAACCAGCTATGCAGCATTAATGTCAAAGAATTAATAATATATGTGCAAGGACAGATGTAATAATCATGAAGCGAGTGATTATAGTACTCACTAGTTGAAAGATGAACATGATGGATTTCAAACCGGAGCAATGATTCCTCCTTGTACATTAAAGCTACAGTTGGCAGCTCATTCCATTGGAGGCAGTGGGGCAAGTGACCAAAGATTGCCTTCTTATACCATATACATACACAAAACAAACAAACAACAAAAGAACAGAAGCAGAAAACTTTGCTCAGTTTTCAGTTATTAGATAACGGTAAAACAAAAGGTGAACTTATTTGCACTAGAAGATGTTATCACACATATAAGATCTCTAGCGGATGCTTAAAGGGTACAGAGAGAAAGCAATCATTTGTTCACACTTTCACTATAGGTGTATCCTTCAGGACAAGTATCTCTCCAAGCACCTTATTCAAGGCTACAATAAATAGTCCCATTTTCTTATTTCCTCATGCTATCACCTTATTCTAGGTGAGCATCTTTTAGCACTTTTGTATTGGAGTTAGGGGTGCAACTTAAGGTGCTTGGAGGTATGGCGCCTCCAAGAAAATGTTCAGCAGACTCTACTGAAGATGCCAATTGCCAAAGATTGCAAAGTTTAATGGTGCCCAGCATTATTGGCCACCTTTGGAACACAGGAATTTCATAGGAAAAATGCAGGATTCAGGAAACAATCCCGCGTTCCAAAGGGGGCCTCATTATTCACCGATGCAAAGTTCAAAAATTATTACTGGGCTGATGAAATGTTAGGAAATTATAGTAATGGCAATTGTCATAACAACAGTATAGCAGTGTGATGGAAATGAGTGGTTGGTGAGTAACAACAACAAATAAACTATACAAAATTGCAGAGATAAAAATACAAATAGTTAACTGAGTTGATGAGAGCATACTTGGGGTTGGAATAACAGGAAACCCACTCACTCGCTTGCTGCTTCAACACAACATAATGGGTATCAGTGAATGATGTTAAACTGAAGTATAAAATGGAAGACCGAATTTTGAATACTACATGAGATGAGTAATAATTATATCTAACAAAGGCATAGATGCTATCTCTTAGCTAAAGCAATTAGCCGCACTTATTGAAATATGCATTGTGCATGGCTCAAATAAATTTTGAGGCAATAAGGGGCAAAGGCAAAATACAGGAAAAAATTTAAACATAATACATATAGTAAAACACATCGATTTGGCTTTTCTACATAAGTAGTGGTACAAAGGCCAAAAGGTAACTTCAAGATGGTATAAACAGGTTGTGTGTCTAGACATCAATAACTGATTATACACCCATTCAGGACCTTCATTTTCTTACCTTCTTGAACGAGAACGAGATCTAGATCTGCAATCCCTGCCCCTTGATCGAGAAGGGTGCCTCCTGTGGCCATCTCTTTCGCGGTCTCTTCTCCTGTTAGTTATTATATATACCAGAATTCAAAATTCGATACATAATACAAGCAAACTATAAATGTGAGTCCCTCACTAACAATCTGAAACACTGTCCGGAACATAATTGAGTAAATTTTCATGAAAATCAACAAGAACCAAAATGGCCACTCTTGGAAAAAGAGCACTGTTTCTTAAGCATGATAAGGTGCATGTAAACAGAGATACCTTTCAGAATCACGGCCTCTGTGATGATCATGGTTGTCAGGACGGTCTCGGTGTTCCTTCCTATCCCGATGATGTCTGTTGTGGCGATCCCATTCCCTCTCTCTGTCCCGGTCCCTGTCCCTGTCCCTTCCTTGATCTCTATCACGATCCCTGCCCTGTCTTTTTCTCTATTCCTGGATTTTGACAACCCATCGTCAGGCAGATGAGTCTCGCCCTATAGATAAAGAGTATAGGACAACATTAGTCTAAATTTATCGACATACAAATAAAGATTAGCTAAAAAGAAGAGTATTTCTCTGCATGACAGAATAAATCCAGGAAAAAGGGCGCAGTGCACTTGCAGTATGTCTGCATTATGAATAACAAGGAGTTTGAAAGGCATGTGGCCAGTATTATTTCCAAGCACTTGAGGTTTTAGCATCGTCAAGTAGCTTCCCCAATTGCATCAACTGGGCAGGTCAAGGCTTAAGGAAGTATAGGTTCACATTTAGAGTGTATAACAAAGTTGCACTTCCTTATTCATTTTTTAGAGTTCCGGAGTCGTTTTAACATTTAGGTGGTATGATGTTGAACAATTAATAACATCAGCACATCGCAAGCCATAAAAAAAGGGACCCATCAAAACCAATTGATACAAATGTACCAGCATGGTTCGAAACCCCGCCTTGTCTGTAAGAAAAACAGCAAAAAGCATCATCGCTAAAAACAAATCTGGTCACCCATTTAGCTACACAGAAAGACGTGAGCAAATTTGCTCCGTGTCTGCCTTCCACCATTGCATTGTTCGACCCAGTGATTAACGGATCCACAAAGCAAGACCAAACTAAAAAACCTTTTATCTATGCACTAATGCAGCAACCAATTAAGCAACCTACCAGTGCAGTAAAAATTAGATTCACTGTGTAGATCTACTCATGTGGAGTCCAATAAAATTAGATTTTTCTATGATTTACTATGATTTTTCAAAAATTCACCGAAAATAAATAAAAAAAATTCAAACCTCCGGTACTGTAGCAACCCGCTGTTACTGTCGCAAACCTGCTGTTATTGTAGCAAAACCGCTGTCAAAAACCGCCCGGGGGGTAAAATAGACGGTTTTGGAAAGTTCAGGGGGTAAAACAGACGGTTTCATAGTTGGAGGGTGAAGTAGACCATGTATGAAAGGTGGGGGTTAAGTAGACTTTTTCCTTTGGATGGCAATCAATGTTACTCTTTCCCCGTTTCTCATTATGTTTGAGCAACGTCCAGTAGTGCATAATGACAAATCCTCAACGATTCAGCTCTCTCTGTGTTCCTGTAGTTAACCTGTCAAATGGAACAAGTCACTGCTATTATAGATGACGAGCTTCATTTGGCCGCATCACCTTTCTTCATTCAAAGGTGATGGGCCATGTTGATGTGCGTCATCTCTGCGTGTTACCTATCTCTCATATGTGACGCACGTCACTAAAGGCCATCTCTTACCTAGTGACATGCAATGGGACAATACATCCATAAATTATGAAGAATGTTTTCATGCATAAATCTTAGTGTGAAAAAGTATTTAGCGCGCGCGCGCACACACACCAGTAGAGAAACGACCTTTGATCCAGCTCGAAATTTGGCTTTAGTTCAGGTATTTTTCGCGCTCGGGACTAGAGAGACCTTTAGTCCCGGTTTGTAGCTCCAACCGGGACTAAAGATCCATGTCCAACGGCTGCTGCAGCAGGCTTTTGCTGCAGGGGACCTTTAGTCCCGGTTGGAGCTACGAACCGGGACTAAAGGTTAACTTTTACTCCCAGTTGGTCCCTCCAACCGGGAGTAAAAGTCTACTCCCGGTTGGAGGCTCCGTCCGGGACTAGAAAGGGACCTTTAGTCCCGGTTGCTGTCTTCAACCGGGATTACAGTTCCCCTCCTATATAGCTCTTCTTCCTCCCCGAGCCCGAGCCACTTCGAGCTCAGTCATCGCCGGCCTCTCTTCTTCCTCATCACCGGTAATCACAAGATTTTCTTTGATTCCTCCATCGATTCTTCGGTTCTAAACGTTATCAACTTTATACTCTCATGTTTCATCAGTAGCATATCTCATTTTGTGGACTAGATATATGTGGTTTTTTATGGTGGAACTTTTTTTATTTGTAAGTCATTTAAGCTCAAAATCACTTTAAAGTTTGCATATTTGGATGAAGGAATGTTAAAGTAGTTATTCAAAACTAGTATTCAGCTTTCATTTCTAGCATGCATAGCACACTTCATGGTTTAGAGATATAGAGAATTTTAGAGTTTTTTTAATTTTATTTGTTTATAAAATGAGAAATTTATATTGTATTAAAAATGAGTATAGAGAGTAGATGGCAACTGCTTCCGGGTCCTCGGCCTCTCGTCGGGTGCCAAAGCGACTGAGCTCGGACCTCCCTCTCATTGCATGCGGCAAGTGTGAGGAGAAGATTGTGATGGAGTACCGGGTGAGGAAGGAGTGTCCCAACAAGGGCCGTATCTTCTACAAGTGTCCGGATCGCAATGTGAGTTATTTTGTCGTATTTGATGATTATGGTTAATTTATACTTTTTTCATGATGATTGTGATTAAAGTTCTAATTTTTTGTTTTAATTTCAGTGGGATGGCACTGGATGTTTAGGTTGGTACTGGGAGGAAGAGTATGTTGAACACATGCAAAACTCTCTTGCACAGGCGGCTACGACGGCTGATGAGGCAGTGATCTTGCGGAAGAAGCCCATAGATGTTGAACAAACGCATGATCTGTCTGTTTTAGTTGGGATTGGTCGCGAAATCCTTATGCTGTTGAAGTGCATTTTAGCTTTAGTTTTTTAGTGGTAGTTGGGATTGTCTACATTGTAGCGAGACTTTCATAAAATAATACCTTGTATGGTGGTATGCATGTTGCATAATTAACTAATTATGTTCTAGTTTTTAATATGGTATGTATGTCATGTAATGCAGATGAGCTGGCATTGGATGTACAATGCTGATCGCCGCTCTTAAGAGTTCATTGAGGGCGTGCATTCTTTCTTACGTGTGGCCGAGGCAAACAAACGCGATGGTTTCATGTGCTGCCCATGTGCCATATGTAAGAATTTGAAGGAATATGCTAGCTCAAGGAGTCTTCATTTACACTTGTTGAAGTCGGGTTTCATGCCAAACTATATTTGTTGGACGAAGCACGGAGAAACCGGGGTTGTAATGGAAGAAGGTGAAGAAGAACAATGGGACAATGATGACATTATTGCTGAGTATGGTGCCTTCAATGATACTACAATGGGGGAAGCTGAAGAAGAGGTAGTGGCAGAAGATGAGCCCGCTGATGATCTTGGTCAGGCCATTCATGACGCACAAAGAGAATGCGAAAGTGAAAAGGAGAAGATCAAGTTCGAGCGCATGCTAGAGGATCACAAGAAATTGCTATACCCAACTTGTGATGCGGGGCAGAAAAAGTTGGGTACCACACTGGAATTGCTGCAATGGAAGGCAAAGAATGGTGTATCTGACAAGACATTTGGGGAGTTACTGAAAATCTAAAAGAAGATGCTTCCGAAGGATAACGAATTGCCCGTCACTACGTACGAAGCAAAACAGGTAGTCTACCCTTTGGGATTAGAAATCCAGAAGATACATGCATATCCTAATGACTACATCCTCTACCGTGGCGAGGAGTACAAGAAGTTAGATGCATGCCCGGTATGTCATGCATCGCGGTATAAGATCAGGCGAGATGACCCTGGTGATGTTGACGGCGAACGTCCCACGAAGAAAATCCCTGCCAAGATTATGTGGTATGCTCCTATAATAACACGCTTGAAACGTCTGTTTAGAAACAAAGACCATGCAAAGTTGTTGCGATGGCACAAAGAAGACCGTAAGGTAGACAATATGTTGAGACACCCTGCTGATGGGTCCCAGTGGAGAGCAATCGATAGAGAATTTCTAGAGTTTGCAAATGACGCAAGAAACTTAAGGTTTGCTTTAAATATGGATGGTATGAATCCTTTCGGGGAGCAGAGCAGTAGTCATAGCACTTGGCCTGTTACTCTATGTATCTACAACCTTCCTCCTTGGTTATGCATGAAGCGTAAGTTTATTATGATGCTAGTGCTCATCCAAGGCCCAAGGCAACCTGGCAACGACATCGATGTGTACCTAAGGCCACTAGTTGAAGAACTTCTACTTTTGTGGAACAGACCATGTGTACGTGTGTGGGATGAGCACAAACAGGAGCACTTTGACCTACGAGCATTGTTGTTCGTAACAATCAATGATTGGCCTGCTCTAAGTAATGTTTTAGGACAATCAAACAAGGGATATAATGCATGCACGCACTGTTTCGATGACATTAAAGGTATATTCTTGAAAAATGTCGAAAGGTTGTGGACCTTGGCCATCGTCGATTTCTTCCTGCAAATCACCCCCTAAGAAAGAAAGACAGCATTTTAAAGGTAAGGCAGACCACCAAAACAAGCCGAGCAACCGAACTGGTGAGGATGTACTCAATATGGACAAGGATGTGAAAGTAGTATTTGGAAAGGCACATGGCAGCGAACCTGTTCTGAATGACGCCGACGGTCACGCACCCATGTGGAAGAAGAAATCCATATTTTGGGAGCTACCCTATTGGCAAGTCCTAGGTCCATAGCGCGATCGACATGATGCACCTGATGAAGAATCTTTGTGTAAACCTGCTAGGCTTCATGGGTGTGTATGGGAAGCCTAAGGACACACTTGAAGCACGACAGGACCTGCGGTGTTTGAAAGAACGAGACAACCTACATCCAGAGAAGACAGATGATGGGCGCCATTACTTAAGTCCTGCCAGCTACACTCTTAGCAAAGAAGAGAAGGAAAGCATGTTTGAATGGCTAGCAAGCATCAAGGTACCATCTGGATTCTCCTCGAATATAAAGGGTATAATAAATGTGGTAGAGAAGAAATTCATAAACTTAAAGTCCCATGACTGCCACGTGCTCATGACGCAATTGCTTCCAGTTGCATTAAGAGGAATTCTACCTCCAAATGTACGTCTAGCCACCGTGAAGCTATGTGCATTCCTCAATGCAATTTCTCAGAAGGCAATCGATCCAATGGATCTAGCTAAACTACAGAATGATGTGGTTCAATGTCTTGTCAGCTTTGAGTTGGTGTTCCCTCCTTCCTTCTTTAATATCATGACACACCTCCTAGTTCACCTGGTCAAAGAGATTAGCATTCTCGGTCCTGTGTTCCTACACAACATGTTCCCCTTTGAGAGGTTCATGGGAGTCCTAAAGAAATATGTTCACAACCGTGCTCGACCTGAAGGAAGCATCACCAAGGGCTATGGAACAGAGGAGGTCATTGAGTTTTGTGTTGACTTTATTCCCGACCTTGACACGATTGGTGTCCCTGAATCGCGACATGAGGGGAGACTAAGTGGAAAGGGGACACTAGGGAAGAAAACATATATTGGTACGTAGGACAATTATTTTAATAAAGCACACTACACAGTTCTGTAAAACTCCTCCTTGGTGGATCCGTATATCGAGACACATAAAGAGTTGCTCCGATCCAAGTTTCTAGAGAAGTCTGAAGCTTCGATTACACGTCAGCACATGGAAACTTTCAGCGACTGGTTGCGAAAAGAATGTCAGGGTGATGAGAGTATTGATGAGCAACTGTATTTGTTGGCTAGGCAGCCATCGTGGCATATCCTCACATACAAAGGGTACG